TGGCCATCCTTCACTGCATGGAGAGGCTGTCTGCCTGTCAGGTGCATGGGACAACAGTTTAAACAATTATCCCAGCAGGACAAGCAAGCAGACAGCCTAGCAGAAAGCCATAGCTCTATGGTCAACAAGGCTGTCTAGGCCTGACCGCTGTACCCAGTGGAACTCGGCACAAAGTAGTTGTAGGAGTGCTGACCCCAACTCTGACCACTGTGCCCTAGGCTAGGTAAGGCCTACTCACTTCCAAAGTGGAGCAATGTCCCAGCATTCTATCCAAAGTGGTACCCATTTTCCTCCAGCTTGCTGTCACTTTCCTGTTAGGAGACAAATATGGTTCTGATAAAACTCCCTACAATGAGGCCCCTTCACAAACACATAAACTAGACCAGCATGCTGTGGGACTGTGTCTTTTCTGAAGGTCAGGACACAGAGATAAATGAAGGCTGCAGCAGGGAAGGAGAGGAAGGAGCTCCCTTCCCCTCATGTGGGGAAACAATTCACTAGGATCAGTAACATAAAGGTTGGACAGGTTAATGAGTACTGCTAGTTATTCCCCTGCAGACTGGTCCACAGGGTCTGCATGTTCAAGGGCAGCTTACACGTGATACTTGCTCATGGCCCCTGTTGAGGAGGATGCTGTGAAACACCAGCCCTTGATCATATTACCTTGATAATGAGGATTTTCTGTAGGGAAATCTGTGGTAATTGGCTCACCTCCTCCTGTGCTGGACACAGACCCTTCATGCTGGGGAAGTGGGCACACTGCCATCTGGACTTCCTGCAGAGCTCCTGCTTCTGCTGTCTCAGGCCACACCTGAAAGTCACCACCCTGTGTCTCCTGATGTAGAGAGCTCATCACTTTAAAGAGGATGGACATGGGAAAGGGACTCTAGGGGAATTTGAAATATGCAGCACTTAAACTAGACCTACTGTGCATCCTTCTCCCCGTGGCACCTCCCATCTGTCTCTGCCATTCTCTCTAAATCCCTCCCTTGGTCAGTTCTTTCCTGCTGCCCCTGCAATCCCTGGTTATCGTCCTCTGTTCTCCATCTCCAGCTCAACCATGACACTTTATTTAGAAGTGGGTTTGTACTATGGCACTGGTGATTTTGAAGTCAGAGTTTTAAATTTGCATACCTAGACAGTGATAAAAGGTAATGTGCCAAATGCAAAGGACAGATGACAGTATCAAACACAAAATTAATTAGTGTCGTAGACACTGAGGGCCTGGAACCAGACCAGTGACTCTGCAATGAGCACTAACAAGTGAAGACAAAGGTCACTTTCTTTTCATGTGCAAAATCTACAGGTTATAGGCATCAGAACATGAACAAGAGAACACTCAGGACATGGAATAGGACAGTGGTCTTCCTGAAACTGTCCACAATGTTCTTGGGAGGGGCTGATCACCTCTACCATCATGCACTGTCTAGAGTTGGGTGTACAGAGTCCTAGTTGGTTCAGAATCCAGAAACCTACAGCCCTGGCTCTCCATTAGCTAGGGAGTATGAACAAGATTCAGTGGCCTAAAAGCAACCCAAAGTGGTTTTGACAAATAACAAAAGCATTGTGGGACCCATGAGCAAGAGTAGCCATGGAAGTCAGCAGACAAGCAGACAGAATCTGGGTGTCAGATGAGTAGAACTGGAAGCTTCTGTCTAGAATATGTGGCTTCAAGTACTGCCTCTGCCACTGGTGTCCTTAAAGTGAAAGCCCTCCCTCCAACATCCCAAGACAGTCACCAGCTGTCTCAGTGACCCACCTTGAGTCCTCAGCTGTGATCTCAAGGCTCAAATGGGAAGAACTCAATCAATCAGACAAGGTAGCCAATCAGGTCTCTCCTGATTGGTCAGGTTGAGGTCATGGGATTTGTGCCTGGACTGCAGTGGGGATCCTGTAAAAACAGGGTTAGAGAGTAGCCTTCTCATGCTCTGTGCCTTGTTTCCAAGGATGTATCAGCTAGGACATACCTCCTCCAGCCCACTGACTGGGGTCCCCAGAAGATTCATGACAGCAGTTCTCACCTCCAGGTATCTGTTCAGTGGTGGACATAGACTTCTATTCTGAAGGTTAGATTTGGACTTTGCTGCTGTTTGTAGTCCATCCTGGATGAAAGAACTTTCACTTCAATCCCTGAAGCTGTTAGGATGAAAGAAGCA